CCCCAAAACCCCAAAACCCCGCTAATCATTATCTTTAAGTAATGAGGGCTTTCTACGATTCAAAATACATTTATTAATTTTAAAAATAGAATACTTTTAGAGATGAATTTTAACTTTAAATCAAATAAGAATGCAAATTTTACTCATAGTATATATTTTATGCATCAATGAATTGTCTTAATTTCATTCTTGCCTATCTACTTCCTCTATTATAATTTCTGGTTGATGCTCCACCATAACTTGAGGAATCTTACCTTCAATTTTTACAGTTGTCGTAGTGGTGACACTGAATTCCATAAATTGATTTTTGATAACTTATTGTGTGGTGCTCGAGCCAATATTTAATTAAGTCTATGATGATGAATTGTTTCCATTTGCCACCATCTTTTTCTACTAGATGCTTGGACTGTTATGTCTAGTTTGATCAATCACTGAAACTCTTCCACTATCATTTTAAGTTTAGATTTAATGCTGCTTTTTAGAGGTGGTAGAGGGAACAGGGTTATTTGAGGTATCAGATGAATTTTATACTTTTCTGAAAGATGCTCTCTTTTACTTCTATTTACCTTCGTTTGTTGAATGTAAGTTCGAGATAGAATTTGTAAGTTGATTGCTAGCTTAAATACTGGGCCTCTCAGTTAATCTGCCAAATACATTTAGTTAAGATTTTTAACTAGGATTGCTATTAAGTGTGCTAGGGGCATTAGATAGAAGACTATATCTGTTTTAGGTTGTACTTTCATGATCGCTATTTTCATCAGAGTAAACAGTCTCAGTACATGGCTCAAAGAATACATCAGAATTAAAGAGTGGATTCTTTTATATCTTCTAGTTCAAGGCCATTGTGCTATTGAAAAGCTCATTACCCTTTTTCTTTTATGTAGCTCTTTTCAATGTATTACTAGGCTGTTAGGAATTATCTTAACTATGGAACAGAGAACTATTACCTTGGAGAGTATTATTTCTGCCTGCTTATTTAAGACTATATTAATGACTTTATCTATCTTCTAAATGAATTGAATTCTTAGGCTAAATGAAGTAAGAGCTTTGTGATGTATTTTTGGCTTTTTCTATTTACTCATTCTTACTAATTTTGTACTTATTGATTTATTAGATTGCCTATTCCTTTAGTGATACTGTAGTCTTTTTATCTTCTTTTTAAGATTATTTATGCTAAGTCTGAAAAGATTCATTATCTGATAAGTAATTTTGAATTTGAGATGAAGATTCAGGTTTTCCCATGCTGATTGCTTACTCATTTGATTTTGTTGGGCCTAGTTTATTTTGGGATACCACTGATTAATTAAGAGAATTAGTCTAAGATTAGGGAAGGAATTTTGCTGTTTTAGGGGCTTCTCTTTTCACTCTTGCAGGGTTTTTAGATAGTATTGGCTTTTAAAAGTTGCTAGTAAAGGATACAGTGTCTTTAGCTTCTTCGGCATCAAAATTGTTTTCTTGCTTTGATCTGTCCAATTATAATTTCAGTTAATCAAACTCAATATCAAGCTTTTGCATTATATCCTTGTCTTTATCTTTACTTCTTCTAGCAGTTGATTGCTTTTCTTTACTCTTTTCCTTCTCCCTCTCATTCGCTTTTATATTATGAACGAACGTTGATAATTATTGTATTTTCTTAACATTTTGAATGTTAGCCTATTGCTTTATCTCCTCATTCTTAGATATTTATGCAGAATTCTTGCTCCTTTTTGCACTTGTGCCTAAATTGAAATTATAAAATAATTGTAATTATTACTAAGGTTAGTAGTGTCTTTGTCTTTCAAGGTATTTTTTAGGTTTATCCCACCAATTTTTTATTCAGAGTAAGAATTATCATAGTTTTATTGAATAACCTCAAGAAAGAGTGATTCTTGTTAGCTTGAATTATTCAGGTATATAAATGTAGTTCTTTTTTCTTCTTAGATCTCTTTACCCCTTAGCATGGTATTCTTATATTTTCTCTAATGGTCAATGAACTATAATAATTTAGAGTTAATATAATAATAATATTAAAAAGAATACATACATTTACTCCTAACTTCTTTTTTATAAATGTCAATATCTTATGGCAGAAAGCTTCACCAAAACAGTGATTGACTTTGCTGTATAAGGCAAGAGCATCTTCTAACTTTTTCATTGCTTTATCAAATACTTTACTTTCGTTCATCTTTTTATTGATAAACCTATTAGGTCTTTAATACATCAAAAATCCAATAGCTAATTGGCACAAGCCTTATCCATGAGCTAATCTCAAATTCAAAAATATCTTGTTAGAATCTTCATATTTCTAGGTCACAAGTTTATAATCATTGCTGGTCTCACTTAAAACAAAAGCCTAAATCTTAAGTAAATTTGCAATACATAGATTATCCTAGGTGAACTTAAGAGCAAAAATCTCAATTGCTTTTAAAGCTTCGTCATACTTTCTCAAAATGACTAAATCAGTGATATAGTACACAAGTAATGAGCCATCAGGAGTCAGATTTACAACTGATATATTATGATTACTTATTTGAATTTGATTTTATTGATTGTTGCTGCTATGATTGTTAATACTTCCTTTAATAATACTTCTTGGATCATTAATACTTTAATTGTGGCTCTCTTGAATAGTAACTCTTTTGTTGTTTGGTTTCTTGGTCTTAATAACTTGCTATTATTCAGATTCATGATCATTCTAAGTCTTTTCATCTATACAAGAGCCTAGCTCATTTTAATCAGATTAAGGATCCTCTTTAACAAGAGTAGGAATATTAAGATATTTAGATGGCTAAAACTTATCTTCTTAGTATTTTTTTGAGGATAATCTTTTCAGGAGTATTGGTTATTTATTATCTGACGAGCTTCCATCATTTAAAGCTAATTCATGTTTAAACTACCCAAACATGTTTTCTTGAACTTTGCTCTCGGAAGTTTCTTGTTCATTGTCATATCCTTGCACATCTTTTCTATCATTTTCTGTCAGTAATTAGGAGCAATCTTCATCAAACGTTTCATCGATGTTATCAAGACTATGAACATGGGAGTGAGCATAGTTTGGCAATCTCTGATAGCTTAATTCCGGGTTTATTAAGCTCTTGCTTAGATTTTTATATTGAGATATTGTGCTTTATGTCCAGTCATAGTTTTACGAACTTATGGGGGTAAGAGCATTATTTCCAATTTAAAATTCATTGGAATTTGACCTATTTAGACCAACAGACTCATTGTCATTTGCGAAATTAATTGGCGTATTTTAGCTCTTAAATTCCTCTTCTAATGAGCCATTGTCACTCTTTTCTGGCTTATTTAAATCACTAGTTATGATCTTGAGTTTCTTCTTAATTTTATTATTTTAAGAGTGGCTACTCAAAAATAAAGATACCTGATCGTCTGATAGCTAAATTGCAATTTATTAAGTCGGGTAAACATTTTCATTCTCATCTTCTTGCTATTTAGAGCTTTAAACTAACTTCTAGCTTTTTTTCTTCTACTTCTTCGATGTTTTAAAATGACTATTATCTTCATCTATTTGACTTTCCATTAGTGATGAAGGTTGATTGAATTTTTTCTTAACAATTTGGCTCTAGGGATCCTAAATTTCATTTCCCCTTTCTTCATCATCATTGGTTCCTTTCTCATTGGATCCCTCTTCCTCACTAGTAACTTAAACTCCATCAGCTGTAAAGCATTGATTTACCGAGCTTTTTTGAGTTTTTGTTTCCTCCTCATCATCATCAACTTCCTCATTTTGAATTTGAGATTGGTTATTTTGATTTTCACTAAATAGACTCCTTTTGTTAGAATGCTTTTCGCTCTTTGATCTACTGTCGTTTTTTCTTTGATAAAGGAAAGTCTCGTAGTAATCATCTTGCGAAGGATCAATATTAATATCACTACTTTCACCTTGACTAGAGTATTAACTTTTGCCATCAATCGCGCTGAATTTCAAATTAGATTCTCTTAATGTTGAAGCAGGAGATTTACCTCTATTAGAGTATTCAGAATTAGTGATAGTAGTTTTATCAATGATTCTGTATATGCAAGCCCAAATATTCGTCTCAAGAGAGACTAGTCTGTTTACTATTTCTTGAGTTGTCATCCTCAGTAAATCTTTACATATTTTTGCCAGATAGTTGCAAGCTTTATTATGTTCTAATGCTTTAGTTTCTTCATCCATTAGCTACACTGCATACTGATTCATAAAAGGAAATAAAGTGTATCTGATCTCACCATTTGAACCACTTTTTTTGACAAGTAATGATGCTCTAAGTAGTTTTTCTGCGAGTTTCATCCAACCATCTCTCCATAAATAATTGAGGTCCTCGTCAGTACATCCGCCTGGGAATAGACCAATCAAACAGAAGAGTTTTATTGCCATTGGCTCTGAGTCTGTCATATGTTTGATACTTGTATCCAGAGAAACCTTTAACGAAGCTAGTGGACCTTCTATACCTTCTATTTGAAGCCATTCAATGATCTCACGACTGTTTAAAAGTGCGTAAAGCTCTTTCAAGCTCTTATCTTGCAATAAAGGAGCAGCTAAACTAATGGCATGAGGATGACCTCCTAGCAGAGTGCAAATATGATGCTCATCTAACCTTGTTATATTTTTCTTTTACTAAACTGGATTAGAATTAAAGACCACCCCAGAATTTGGATTAGATAATAAATCTTCTATCTCATTTTCTTTAATAGGTCTCATAGCTTTTTTCATTAAGAGTTCTATTGCAAATTAAGATTTTAGCTCTTTGAGTGTGTAAATTTTCTCCGAAATATCTGCTAATTATCCTATCGGATATCTAGATGTCAATAGCAATCTTAATTATGGACAGCATACAAGCAAATGTTATAAAATCTCACGAAACTGATTTCCCTCTTTACGCAGTGTATCTTCGGCATTGTCTAAAACAAGGAGAATTTCTTTGTCCTTCATAAATTAGATAATCCTCTCTTAAATTTAGGAAAAATTTTCTATTGCTTTATCGTCTTTTTCTTGAGGTGGAAGATGCTTATTTATTATAAGTTACAATCTGGTTAGAATCATATTAGCTTGATCTAATCCTCTCAAACTTAAAAGGATTATACCATCTCTGAATAATTATCTCTCATCTAAGAAGTGAATAATTGCTTTCGCTATAGTTGTTTTACCGATTCCAGGCATTCCTTTAATCGTCACAAATCTGTTCTCAATTACATCCATTATGATTTCATGCATTTCACTTCTTCTCCCAACGAAATCTTCTACCTTTGATGTTTCCAATTTAAACAGTGGCTCTTAACCCACATTTTAAACTTGTCCTTTCATAAATGGACCGAAAGTTGTGCATTTATGTATCTTCGGTTTCATTATTTAATCTGGAAAATCTTATAAGGTGATTCCTTGATTGTGTTGATTTTGATTGCTATGTCTATTTGCAATTTCATCAATATCCTTAATTATTATAAATTTCCTCGATTCTTCTGCAATCTTTTTATTTTTCTCTGCTCTCATTGCGGCTTTTGCAAGTTCAAAAGCTTGACATACTGAAACTGTCTGACTGAATAAAGCATGATAGAAATTTTTGCTAAAAGCTATTGCTGCTTCATCTGAAATTTAGAATCCTTTCCTCACACATATGACATGCTTGGCACCAGCATTATGGAAAATTTCTCCTGCAAATTAACTATAACATGAGGCTACAAAGACGAACTCAAGCTTAGTGCCACTGTGTTCTAATAGCTCAAACAGCTTCTTCTCGCTCATAAATTAAGCACAGCCCTCATTATCCTCAAATATCAGAAAATTCCCTTCATCCTTGAGAGCTTTACTATCCTTTCCAAAGTTTTCCTTGTTATTTTCGATTCCATGGCCAGAGAAATGAAGTGCAATAGGATTTTCAGTCAAAGATACTCTGAGATTGTCTAGTGTAGCTGGTATTTTCCTATATCTTATTTAATTACCAGTACTCTTCAAACTTTCAATCACACCATTGAACTCCCTATTGTGATCTATCTATTGAATAGTTTGCTGTTTCAATTCACCACTGCTGTCATCTTTGTATTTGATTATCAGTGGAGAGGAGAATAAAAACGCAAGATGTAGCTTAGCCTAGGATAAAAAGCCTTGTGAAAGCATTTCAAGTAAATCTTTTTCTTCAATGTATTTAGATAACAGTTAAGGGGATGAGTAGATCTTGGCTAACTGTTGACTGATTCTTTGCAAAGTATCCTTTAATTTCAATGCTTCATCAGTTTTCTCTTACAATTGAGACCTAAGTACAGCGATCTATTGCTATTGAGACTCTACTTTATTGGCATTCTAGATGCTATTTCTGCATCTGTTAAATCCTTGAGAAACGATAAATAGACTATGAGAGATCTCCTAGGTATGATGTCTTTTCAAAATTGGTTGATTTTTAGAGTCGTGTTTATTATTATTCTTGTCTTCATCCTATCCCTACTTTCCATTTCTCTTCTACACAATATTAGTATTCTCATTAGGATCTTAAGTTGCTGTATTTGATGGAATTTCCCTTGATTACTGGAGAGAAGACATCTCTACTTTAACTCTCATTTATGAGTCATACTGATTTAGTAATTTGACTGGACTGCTTAATGTCTACTAGGTATCCTCGAATCCAGCAATCTCGAGATCATCTAAAATGAAAAGAGGATCGTTCTAATTAGACTGCATGCTAAACAAAGCATCTATCATACCAAAGTTGACACCCTTAAAGCTTGACATTGCATTTTAGATTTTTGGAGGTTCTAAATCTGCAATTAGCTATTCGTCAGAAATCTATTATTCTAATTATTATTTTGAATTTTCTTCAATTTTTTAAGCAGAAGATTCAGTAATCATCGAATTTAATTTAGTAATTTCAAGTAGCTTTGTTGTCGACTGAGGCTATTAGGAATTTGTAGCCAATTGTGAACTATCTGATTATATCTGATCAGTAGTGATCTGCTCTGCGTTACCTTCAATTTGAGGTGTAGTATTTAACTCCACATAGTTTCCATTAATCATAATCTTCCCCTCTTTTTACTATAAATAAAACATTAATACAAAAGGATTTATGCGAAATATATAGTGTCATAGAAACAGATGATTCATTACCATTGTTTGCTAGATGAACTTGAGAAATTCCTCTTGGTTTTCAAATTAGAGTGTAGCTGGTTTGACTTCTTCCAACCTGCTGCCTAAATTAACTTTTAATTTGGAGAATCTTACCTAACAGACTTTAATTTTCCCTTCTTTAATGGAATGATTGATAGGTAACTGATGCATTATTATATTTGAAGTTCTAAGCTGATATCGCATGAGAATGGTCTGTAGAGTTTTGCGTTTTGCTTGTTGAGCAGTTGATATTTTCCTAGCACTCATTTATTTATTCTTAATCGAATATTTCTGACTTTATTCCTCGAGTGATACTTGACTCTAAGACTTCCTCGTTAAAAGAGTATTATGAGTCTAGCATCAATCCACAAGGTGTTTAGTCTTTATCACTTATCATATTACTTTAATTAATTAATTATAATAATTCTAATTGATATTTCACTTTTACTCAGAATTACTTTCTTTTTTGCTATCCTCTTTTTTCGCCTTCAGGATCTGCTCTCTCAACAATCTTACTTATTCCTTGGTTAATTCAACCAGCTACCCCTTCTCATTTTTTATAAATAAGCTATCTTTCTTAGCTTGCAACTGTTGCTATCTCTCAGCTTCACTGATGTATTATCCTTTACCCTAGTCTTGAGTTTTCATAAAATCAAACATAGTCTTCCTATTCCCACAAGTTTCGAGATATTTTCTCAAGAAAAAGAAGCCGATAACAATAAGCCAAAGTCCAAGTTCGTACCTTGTTATTCCTAGAGCTATCTCATCATCATAGAAGTATTTCAAGTCCTTTAGTATCTTCTTATCTTTCTTACTATTCAATAATCTATAGCCTTAATCCATTTCTTCATCATCTTCTAGGGATAAAACTTAAGATACTCCTGCATTAACAAGATCGATAGATTTCTCAATGCCTTTATACAAATAATGTCTAAGGTTATCTCTATAAACACATTTGCTTTAAGCCATAAAAGGAACCAAATCTAGCCAATAGCTTTCAGGGGTAAACTTTTAAATGTAGGCGCAGTGTTTATTGGCTACACATAGAAATGAGGGTGTCTATTCATGACACACCTGTTGCGCCTTGCTTATATTCACAAAAATAATTGAAATCAATCCCAGAAAGCAAACTATAAAGCAGAAAATTCTCATTGGTTTCCTATACTTGACACAGTTACAAGAATTTCTCCTTCGCTAGTTGCTCCCTATATTTTCTAATGTGCCTATTCTTGCCATTTAAATAGAGATAATATTTTCTAGCTTATTTTTTCTTCGATTTGAATAGATAATCTCATGTTTGGGGTTTTGGGGTTTTGGGGTTTTGGGGTTTTGGGGTTTT